TGTGCAACGTTTGATTTATTGCAAATTGGATTTTTGAGACAAAAGATTTGAGATGTAGTTTTTGAAGTATTGTTGGACACACTCTCGTCATATAATGGGAGATTTATTATTGGTCAAACAACTATATTGCCCTCTCGACTTCTTTTTAACCCAAATTATCATCATTATTATTATTTGTTATTATTATTTGTAAATTCATGTGAATTTAGAGTTTTCTAATACATTTAATTATAAACCACACAATATAGTAATTCTTTTATTTTTCAAATATCTCACTTGCCTCAACAGGGTAGAACCAAGAAAGACTAAGGATAGTCTTTTCTTGTAATCCTAACTTTAAACCTTACTTTTCTTTAGAAGGGATTCTTGAACCCTAATTTTAGACTCTTTTTAATCTTTACAAAGGGATTTAGGGTAGGGTTTTTGGCTTCTTTTCTCTTAATGTAACTTAGCTTTATAGTCTTTTTGTTTATGACTTTTTGAGATTTTGATTAGGTTCCATATTTGATCTCTTTTATATGCAGTTTAGTCATTTTGTGTTAAATTTGAATTAGAAATGTTGAACATAAAAACCTACTTAAAAAATAGAGATTTAAACTCTTCAACCTTAGAATACTATCTCTTTTAGGAACCAATTAACTTGATCATAAGTTGATGCCAACAAAATTACTTTTAACATGGATTTTACATTTAGGCAGCATTGACATGGATATAGTATATTAGTCCTTTTTACCATTTCTTTTTCTTAAATTTTTCTCGACTGAAACAAAACAAATAATTCCAAAAAAGGGGGAAAAAAATAAAACAGAGAGAAACAAAATCAATGGAAAGGATTTCATTGAAAACAATTAAAAATGAAGGAATTAATCGGCAAAAAAAGAAGGTTTAGGATCCAATTTGAACCTTGGCCACTGGCAATACACAGATTCGACATTATTTAAATTATGATGAAAAAAGTATTTAAGACCTGTTTAGTTAGATACAATAATAGTCTAAAAAATTACATTTTAACTCATAATTAACCCTAAATTTTGAATTTATTTATATATAAATTTTACACATTAAATTTACTTAAATTTATATATAATCTTGAATATTTATTGGTTTATTTTTAATAATTAAAATTTATTCAATTTTTATTGATGAGCTGAAATTTATATATATATATGTGAAATTTCTGCTTTGATATTATTAATATTTAGATGAATTTTATGAAATTTACATGATTTTACATGGTTTTCATTTTTTGTGAAGAAAAAGATTTGAATGCATAATAATGAGTTTTTGAAATTAATTGAACATCTTTTGAAAGTTGAGGGAGTGAATTGTAAGAAGAAATGTGTTATTTTGGGACCTAAATGAATGAATCTTGAGTTTAGGGATCTAAATGCAGTTATATGAAAGTTGGAGGACTAGATCTGCTATTTTACCATTAAAGAAATTGTAAAAAGAGGCGAGAAACCCAACATGGGTGTGGTATCGACACATAATCGGGGTATTGACAGCATACGTTAAGCGTCCAGAGTTAGAGTTTTTGTTTTTCCTTGTCGATACGTAATTCGGAGTGTCACACCCATGTGTCCAATGTCCAAAATTCATGTTTCCTATGTTCCAAGTCCTATTTCTTTTCTAATAAAGTTTCTTAAACTCTATAAATACTCATTCAAAAATTAGTTTAAGGGCTTTTGGAAGGACACCAAGAGAGAGACGATCGAGAGGAATTCAACAACAAAAAAAGATCAAAACTTAAAATTTTATATTGTTAAATTGTTTTGCTTGTTCTTGAATTTTAATCTATGATGTTGGATACATGTATATTCATTATGAGATTGTTAATTTTCTTTTTTTCTTTTAATTTTAAACTAATTTAGCCATCTAAGACTATAATGTAATATGATCAATTTAATATAGAGTTTTATATTTTTATATTTTCAAGATTTATTATTTTATGTAGAGTATATATTATTGTTTTTAATGCTTTTCAATAATTGATCACTATTAAAACTGATTTAGAGAGTGTAATTAAAACTGAAATGAGATTTTATATAATAGTTTCCAATAATATATACTATAAATTAAAAGAAATCTAGAGATAGATCTTCGTGCAGATATTTCTTAATTGTTATCTTACTCTCAATAATTTATGTGGAGGACTAAATGTGAGAATTTTCTTATTTCATCGTTTTCATGCATTTTATGTATGCAATATCTCTGACATGTTACCTCTTATAATTGTGGTTTTTTATTTTATGGTTTTCTTATGTAAGTTGATTTTAACTTAATTCTTTTTTGTAATGTAGAAATCAGTTTGCTTAGGGGAAATCAAGGCAATCATTTCGGACTTAAAGTGATACATCTTTTGTTTAGTGACCAAAATAACTTTAATAGATTATTTGGGGTCCTTTTTTTTTTCTTTTTTCTTTTTTCCCGAAGATTACTTTAGTAGTTGTAGTTGTGATTTATGTGGGCCTCTTCGTTGGGGAAAGCCGGATCTTCGTAGTTTCTAATGGCTCGGCCCACTCCCAATTTATAAACCCCAATTTTCCACACCTCTGCAAAACCCTAGACTCTGCAATCAACGAGGAGATGGGCATGAAACTGTTCGACAATGATGATAACCCAACCGATGATATATCGAAGATTGAAATCAACGAGGAATATGCTCGCAGATTCGAGCACAACAAGAAGCGCGAGGCTTTGCAGAGGTATGAGGAGCTGAAGAGGGAAGGCCGCATTGCAGAATCAACTGAATCCGATGAGGAATCAGAGTCTGAATCATCTTCTGAAGAAGAAGAAGATGATCTTAATGGCGTGGTTGGCACCAAGAAGAAAGATTTGGAATTTTTCGATGCTTTAATCAAGGTGAGAAGTCAATCCAAACTAGGTGTTAACACTTGTTTCTGTCTTGTTTAGATTCGAAGAAATATGTGTTTTTTGATAATCTAGGATTTTAGAATGTTCAAGTTCAGTACTAGGATTGAGTATTTCCTTTTCTTTTCCATTAGTGACAGAGGCATCTGTAAATTTCAACAAATTTTCTCGAACTGTATGTAATCCCTACAAAATAAAATTATTAATGTCAAATTTGAATTATGAACTTTAAAACATTAATCTAAAGAACCCAAAGAGAAGCTGGCTGCCAGCCCTTGTTGATTGTCTTATTTCTGGATTCTAATTGTCTTATTTCTGGATTCTAATTGTCATTAATATCATTGGGTGTGAAGAATAGATCTTGGTCAATCAATTAATGACTCGTTTCTTTCTTTAATCCATTAATCAAGGTGTGGAATCAATTAATGATTTGTTTCTTTCTGTTAATCCATTAATCAAGGTGCGGAGCCAAGATCCTAGATTGAAGCAGAAAGACATCAAGCTTTTTGGGTCTGATGATGATGATGACAGCAGTGAACAGGAAGGTGAGCAAAAGGAAAAGAAAGAGAAGAAAGCTGTATATTTGAAGGATGTGGTGGCAAAGCAGCTGATTGAGGAAGGGCCAGATTTTGAGGAGGATGATTCTGATTATCAGCAGAAAAAGAAGAAAAAGAGTTATAGTGAGGAGCAGGAAGAGATAAAGAAGGCTTTCCTGGATGCAGCACAAGAAGTTGATGGTGATGGTGATGATGATGAAGATGATTTCTTACGAGTGAAGAAAAAGGAAAATATAGATGAGGAAGGAAAAGAAGAGTTAGATGATGGAGAATTTGCAAAGAAGTTGGAAGAGTATTTTGGTAGGGATACGGAAATGGATGAGAACCAAATGTTCTTGAAGGAGTTTTTCATGAAAAAGATGTGGCAGCACAGGGAGAAGGGGGGTAATGATATGGTGGGTGATGATGAGGTGGATGAATTGTTAAGGGACGAGGAGGAGATTGAGAAGCAAGAGGGGTATGAGTTGGAGTATAATTTCAGGCATGAGGAGAATGCTGGGGATAGAATAATGGGGTACTCTAGGAAGATTGAAGGGTCAGTGAGGAAGAAGGAGAATGCAAGAAAGGAGCAGAGGAGGAGGAAGGAGGAGAGAATGATGATTGCAGAGATGGAAAGGAAGGAGGAACTGAAGCATTTGAAGAATTTGAAGAGGGAGGAGATGAAGGAAAAAATGAAAAAGGTCAAGGAAATTGCAGGGATTAAGGAAGATGATCAATGCCTGTTTGGTATGAAGGATTTGGAGAAGGAGTTTGATCCTGATGAGTATGATAAGATGATGAAGGCTGTCTTCAATGAGAAATATTATGCTGCTGAGGATGAGGAATTTGGTAGTGATGAGGATGGCATTGAGAAACCTGACTTCAATAAAGAGGATGAGCTGCTTGGACTGCCCAAAGGTTGGGATGTGCTTGAGTCTGGTGATGGATTCTTAGCTGCAAGGGAAAGGATTTTAAAGCAGAAATCAGAGAGCATTGGTGATGGTGATGCTGAAGTAGAAGAAGATGAAGGACAACAAGGTCAAGAAAAAGAAGAAGAAATAAGAGAAGGGGATACTGAGGAAGGTAAGCGGAAGAGGAAGCGTAAAATGTCCCTTGTACAGAGAGCTAAACAGGAAATGCTGGAAGAATTCTATAAGTTGGATTATGAGGATACAATTGGGGACTTGAAAACAAGATTCAAGTATGCGAAGATCAAACCAAATAGATTTGGATTGAAGATTGAAGAGATACTTATGATGGATGAAAAGGAATTAAATCAATATGTTTCCTTGAAGAAGCTTGCTCCCTATAGGGATAAGGAATGGAAGGTACCAAATGGTAAGAGGTACCAGTTTAAGCAGATGACAGGAGGACTGAAATCAGACAATCAGAAGGTTGGTAAGAAGAGGAAAGGGGATTCTGCTGAGAAACTAGTATCTAGTTCAGGTGAGAAGGGAGAGGAGAAAGCACAATTTGAGGGATTGAATGGTGATATGTCCCAGCAGTCTAAGAAAGCCAAGAAAAGGCGTCGTCAGGAACTTAAGTTATCAGATGGGAGGCTCAAGGCATATGGAAAGATACCTTCTAAACCTAAGAAGAACAAGATCAAAAGTGACAACTGATGCAATTCAGGCAACGGCAGTAGAGGAGGTAGTTCTTTATGTGAGCTTGAATCTTACTTCCTGTTGTTTGTTTCTTTTTGGTGCATCTTATCAAAGGTTCCTCTTTTGTTGCTGTTATGGCAATGGAACTCTAGGAAGACATTGAGGTTGTTTCTGTACACTTTTGTTGTTATGCTGCTGTTAAAGAACACAGCATTGTAAGCTTACTATCGTCAATGACACATTTGATCTTATTTATTTATTTTCTTTGAATAAAATTCTGTTTTGCGCACATAAAGTAAAACATGTCATAATGCTTGCCAGAAAATACAGCTCTTTCTTCAGAAAGGGTTGGCGAGCAAACTTAGGTTGAATAAGTAGAATTATCTACAATACCTGTTAAAGATGCTTCCAATAGCAGCTCATTAGGACAAAGCAGGCCCGTAGAATTCACATGTAGTTTTGTTTTCATGTTCTTTGTGCTTTAGCAAGTTTGCCAAAAATGGTGGGGATGTCCACCTGTAACTGCAGGAAACTGATAAAAACTTTGTTAAACATGGATTGTGTCCATCAGTATCTCTAGCACAGAGTAGAGAAAGAGGCCAGAAAATCATCCCTCTATTATTTTGTTCAGA